TTTGGATCTTTAATAAATTACTAACTTTTTAATATGTTTAGGGGTGACTAGTATTATATTATTTATTAAAATAATTATATTATTTTTTAAGAACAGTAATACTGCATTATTTAGGTATTTTTTATATATAAGCTTGCTAATAATAGCTCTTGTATTTTTGCTATAGTTTACCCTATTTACTACTATATTATTAAAAATAATAATATTCTTGGTTTGCCTATAATAAAGGTGGATATTAACTAATAACATGTTATTAGTATTCTGGGCCTTGGTATTAAACCTTAATACCTAATCCTAGTGGTATAAATATTACTTGTAAAAAATAAGTTAATGCTTAAAATCACGGATGGTGTTATAATTTTTTGTAACTAAAAAGTAAAGTTTTTTTAGGTCTTTTACTTAATAAATAGGATAGTTAATTTAAATAGCACTTGAACTTAATTCTTGGTTAGTATTTAACTTTATATAAATATAAGAATATATATAAAATAAAAAAAAGTTATATATAATAATATACCTAACATCTTTTAAGCTTACTTTTCTAGGTATTTTACCTTTTTTAATATATATAAGTATTTTGCGGGGTTAAGCACCTGCCTTGTCTCCCTTTTTTATTTAACTTTTTTACTTTAAAAAGTGTTTGTCCAACTTTATCCTTGCAACTATCTTTTTTTTTTAAAAATTAAAAAATTTTGGGTATTTTTTGTTATTTTTTAATACCCTAGTATCTAGCAAGTATTAAAGTAGTATTTTTTTATAATTTTCTTTCTTCCTAATATTATTTTATTAATTATCTTTTAATAAAAGTGTTTTACCGCGCAAGCAGCTGCTTATAGTTTTATTAACTAATGCTTATTAAGAAAAGATAACTTTTTATTTTTTAAATATTCTTTTTTATCTTTGCCTTTTTGTATTTTTCTCCCTTTTTTAAAACTATTATTATTAATTACTTTATAGTACAGGTGTCCTAGCCACGCAGTTAACACTTTTATTAATTAATATATCTTATTTTTAAGACACGCTATATTATTTTTTAAATAAGTTTTTTTTTATTAGTAGTGGCATACTATTTATTAGAACCTTAGTTACTAACCTTAAGATATATTAAAATTAACTTTAGTTAATTTTTTTTATTTTATAGCTATAACACAAGAATAACTTTCCTGCTTTATAACTTTTATTTATAATTACTATTTATAACCACCGTCCATAATTACTATCTAAACCTTAAAATATAAAATATAGCTATTAGGAACTAGGATCTTGCAGGGTTATAATTAATAAAGTAATATAATAATATAACCTATAAATATAAAAGGTTAGTTTTACTTTATTAATATAATTAGGATACTAAGTGTACTTTAATTACTTACTAGCTATTTATAACCCTAATTTTAATATTTAGACTATATTTTAACAAGCGGATAAATATAAAAAGTAAATATAATTAACAAGCCTATATTAAATAATAAAGCCTGGAAATATAAAAAGTTAATTTTATTTCACCTGCACTAACTTTTAAAATTATATTAATAACTTATAAGCCTAATTTTATTAAAATATATTATAGCAAATAAACAAGGGCAGGGAAACTAAAGTAGTATTATATTAATTAAAAAAATTTTATAATATCCTACTTAAGCTAAACCACTAAAATGCTTTTTTTATAAAACATGCCTTAATTAATAAGCAAAATATATTATAATTAAGTCCGCCTAGTCTTTACCCTAATGTATGGTAGTATATTAATAATATGTTAAAGTATATATAAGTTACCTTTAAAATATAACTTTTAACTAGTATAGCCTAAACTTAAGGGAAGTTCTCCTATTTTTTAATTATTATTAAACTTTGCTAACAGTCTTGCAATTAACTTCTTAAAGATTTATAAAAATATTTAAGGTAGGAATTTAATTTTTATATTTAGTTAAATATTAAAAGCTAATAAATATAAAGCAAGTGCATTATTTTAATATTATTATTATTAAATAATAAAATAATGTTATATTAACGCGGGAAGCTATTTGCTAAGAACAAGTATATTAGGGATAATGCTTTTAAGTAAATTAGGGATAATTAGGGATAATTAAAAGATAAAAACAGGCATGTTAGGTATGCTAAAAATATTTAATTTATAAGTATACTAAAAATATACTATTATTATACTAGGACTATCCTGCTATTATATTAGGAATGCCCCTTAATTTTTTTTATTTTTATTATTAAAAATTTTGTTGCTAGTATCAAGCCAAAAGCTTGATAAAACCTTTTTTTACTAAGTAAAAAGTTATTTACTACTAAGTATAAAGTATATGCTAAGCTATTAATTATACTACTGGTAAGCAACCCTATATATAATAATAGGCTAACCTTTAAAAATTAACTAGTATTAAATTTAGCTTTATCTTTTTTATTAGGTATAAACTTTTTTTATTACCTTTTTATAATTTGGTAAAATGCAACCGTGGTAAAAATAATAAAGTACCTTTAAATTTAAAATTTTTAGAATCCTAAACCTAGGGTACCCTAAAAATCCCTAAAACTTACTTTTTTTTTATTACATGTTATTAACCTTAAAAACATTACAAGTGTGATACTATGGCTTTATATTATTTAATAACTAGCTAATTTAGAAATTAAGGTTATACTATAGTGTTATTATAATTATTATAAAGGCAAGATTAGTTAATAAATATAATAATAAAATTAGTACGTGGCAGTAAAATATACAAGCTCCTACTAATACTGCTATTAATAAATATATTTTAATTAGTATAATAATTAGCTAATATTTTTAATAGTTATACCTTCCATATATTAAGTAATTTACTAATATCCTAGTTAGTATCTCCTATATATTTACCCTTTTACTAATATTATTAATAGTAACCTTATGTATCCTGGAATAAACCCTATATGCTAGAAACGGGGATTTTTAGTATTTTAATATTTTTAATACTTTAAATATTTTTTATATCCCGTAGAAGACTATATATCCCAGGAAGCCTTATTATATTATCTTGCGCTTAAATATTTTAACTACCTAGTATATATTATTAAGGCTAATATATATATAGCTATTAATACGCCTTGTTATATATTTAAGTTTAATATATTTTAAATTATTAATCCCTATTAATACTTAATATATTTTAATGCAACCCTTAAAGGCGCCTTGCCTTTAATAATGTCCCTTGTATATATAACATGTATTTTTATAATTTATTTTATTATTTAACATGTCTTTTTTTCCAATGCATTATAATACTTAATATACCTTGCTTTTTTACTACTTATTATAAAGCGGCCTAGTGGGTCTACCAAAGGCTTAGTAAAATAATAAGTATATATTAGTTTTTTTAATATGCCTTGTGGTTTTAATACGCCTTTTTACTATTAGTTAAATTTATATATTTTATAATATATTAAATTTACGCCGGGAACTTACCTGCCACATGGTACTTAAGTTATTAATATATTACTAGCGTGATATATAATTATATCTCCCCTGTATTAAAATCCTAGAATATTTTACTTTAAGCCCTAACCTAACTAATTAAACTAATTTTATAGCCTACCACTAGTCCACTATCCTAGCATTTACTATATTAGCGTGTAAATTAAGGCTAGAAAATCTAGGATATACTTAATACTAAATTACTAAATAGTCCTATTTAACTAAAATATTTTATTTTAAGCCTTAACCTAACTAAACTAACTTTACACCGGTCCACTGCATTAAGATATAAATTAGGAATTTTAAATTTAAAATGCACTTGCTATACTAAATTACTAATTAGTCCTATTTAATTAAAATATCTTATTTTAAGCCCTAAATAACTATAACTAAGCAATTATATTCCCAAGTAATTATATTCCCAAGTAACTACATTCTTAAGTAACTACATTCCTAAGCAACTATATTTCTAAGTAACTATATTTCTAAGTAACTATATTCCCAAGCAATTATATTTTTAAATAACTACATTTTTAAGCAACTACACTCCCAAGTAATTACATTTTTAAATAACTATACTTTTAAATAACTGCATTCCTAAGTAACTATATTTTTAAGCTAAGTAACTATAACCAAGCAACTAAATTCCCAAGCCTCCAACCCTTTAAACCCCCGAGCGTTTAAATTCCCGGGTTTAAGACATGTAAATCCTAATATTAGCTAGGTATGTGGAATTTAAGGCTGCTTAGCTAATTTTATTAACTTAGTAAGTATAATTAGGTATTATTTACTTGGTTATTTACCTAGTTATAAATAAGTTCTTTATATATTAGCTTTGTACTGCCCTATATATATATTAGTTTAATTAAAAATAAACTACACCTATACTTAATTTATATAATATTCTTTTTTTAATATATATTATAAATAATATATTTTAGTCCATATATTATATATTAAGAATTATATATATTAAAACATTAAATATATATTTAACTATTTAATATATGCTTATTATATATAGATTAACATATATATTTTTAAAAATAAAATATATTTTTAACTAAAAAATATAATTAAATTACTTATATATATTTATTTAAATATATATTAATTATATTTTGTAAAAATTAATATACATGCGGTGTAATATATTTTTATTTTCTTAATATATATTCACGCTGCTAATATATATTTTGCTTTAATATATATTCGCGACTTTAATATATATTACCTTAAATATAACTTTTTAATTATATTAAATAATAATATACATTACAATAAATATAATACTAGTCTTAAACCATTACTATACTCAATACCCCCCCTGCGGACTGACGGGTATAGCTAGTGAGACACTCAGCTAGTCCGTCTGACGGCTACAGAACACCCCTCCGGATTCAAAAATCCAGCGTCTGCTTATCTATCTACTCTTAGAGCTAGTTGGAGTCGATATAACAACCGAAATCCCACCAACACCAATTCCTTTGATAATCCCAGGTGAATTCCTCCAAACAACCGTCCCAAGGCTCAAACCTCAACCATGCTGGGCTCCACGCACTTTGCAGTTTGTAGGTTCAACGACAGTTCCACCAAGTCACCTTACACCTGTGTTATCTACCAAGACCAAGATGGCGACATCAGAGAGGCTCGTTCGGATTGTGACCGGTCCCAACCTGACCCAGTCGTGGTGTCCCGGGACAATGTGATGGAGAAGTCCCCTCTTGCAGCCGCTGCTTGGAAGTCAGGTCTTGAGGTATTCCAGCATCTCGATACCTCCCCTTGCCAGCTACCACTAACTGGGTCTAGAGACGGGTCTACTTTATTGATAAGGGTCTGAAGATTCGTGAGGTAAGCCTTTGCCACCAGCCTCTCATAACCACACAAGCCTAATCAAAAACAGCAAGCCCTCTCCACAGCGTCTATTGCTGCACCAAGTGTGTGGAACGTTGGAGGCGCCATCAACGCCAAAGCAACCCCAGGTTCTCGCCTAGCTGTCGCCGTTATCACCGACCCGGATGACCCGACCGATGCTCGTCCTGGGCTCAAGCTGTTCTATCAAGTACGGGATAACGCAATCCACTACATCGAATTCCAGAGACGAAAGAATAAGTGGTCTACATCCACCGAGTTTCAAGGCATCCAGGTTCACACTGGCACCGGTCTGGCTCCAGTAGTCTTCACTCGGCGTTCAGCCAGTGCAAAGATCCGCTTGTTCTGTCAGGACCCTAACGAGACCTTGAAGGAGATTTATATAGATGCCGAGGCCGGAGTGCTATCATCTAGTAAGTGTACTTGAAATGGCGTTTTTGCTGCATAAATCACCCACTAAAGAAAAACGTGGAGCAGAGACTTTTGCAGATTTCAAACTTCTCCCTCAGGCGTCCATCAGCGCTGTCAACTGGAATGCAGCCCTCGACACCTCAACGAATCTGCAAATCCGCGTCTTCTCCATCGCCACCGATGGAGGTGTTGTGGCAATGACTTACGATCAGAGAGACGGTGGTTGGGACGAAACTGCCGTCCAGATTGCCATGCCCTCTGTGACTGACGCCACCAAGAAAGATTCGACGGTCGCAGCAGTACAAGGCTTTGACAGTGCTGGCAATCTGTGCGTCGATGTGTTCTACCAGCCCGTGACGATGATTGGGCACTTCAATGCCTTGAAAATGGCGCCGATCCAACAAGGTGGATCGATGGACTCGACAGAGACCATCAAGCAATCCAATGTCGGCGTCGTTGCTTGGGATAGGGCCACACGGGAACCAGAAACCTTGCGCGGCACTAGCATGGAGCTCGTGTCATGTTCGTATGACTCTACAATGCGCACATGGGATGCCTCTCGGGGGTTGCCTTTACATACTCTCCAAGTCTATTCTCCGTTAGCCCAACCCAAGGCCTCTGCCATGTCCTTCTCCTTCGTCAAGAGTCAGATCGCAGTAGCGTTCGACTCCAAGCTCGTCTTGAAAGACGCGAAGAACGGCCAGGCTTTGCATACATTCGAAAACAGCGGCTATGTTCGCTGTATAGCCTACTCCTCTGATGGCAGCAAGGTTGCATGCGGATCACAAACCTCAGTGTCCATACGGGACACAGAAACACGCCAGCTTTTAGGAACTCTAGAGCATACTGAATATGTTCAGTGCGTGGCCTTCTCGCCGGATGGCAACAACATCATATCTGCATCATATAGTCAAGTGAACGTATGGAATATACTGGGAGGCAAGGCCCTGCAAACCATTCAGCCCGATGATACCGTTCTTAGCGTGGCATACTCACCGGATGGCAGCAAGATTGTATGCGGGTCATACATCACAGCGCTGAGTGTATGGGATGCGGCGACGGGGCTGCTTTTGCACACAAAGGAACATGGCTCAGCCGTTCCTTGCGTGGCGTTCTCCCCTGCCCCCGGTCGTTTTCTTGCCTCGGGCTCTGAGAGGAATCACCAAAGCGTGAAGATCTGGGATACTGGGACCTGGAACCTCCTGCACACTCTCCAGGGGCATACTAGCAGCATTCTCAGTGTGGCGTTCTCGTCCGACGGCAGCATGCTTGCTTCGGGCTCGGGGGACCAGACGGTGCGCGTGTGGGACGTGGTGACCGGGCGGCTTTTGCATACCCTCGAGGGCCATACTGCCACCGTTGCATTTGTGGGATTCAAGCCGTAGATCTTTCGGGCGACTGTTTGAGGTACAAGTGGCGGATTTCGACAAAAGCATTAAATAACGTTCTACTCCATAACTAGATCTAAGACATTGGCTCGTGTGGTGGGCGTATACTTAGTGATAAAGATTTCCTGAAGTGTAGTTCGCCTGTAAAACCATCAAGTGAATGGGTTTCAACATTTAGCAAAGTATCTTATATCGAGCACCAGCCTGGCAGCTGCTATATTGCATTTCTTGTATGCCACAAGACAGCAAATGAGATGGTTTCCACCTACACTGTATGTGGGACATGATCAATATACCTAGACGTTGACAGAAGGTTAATGTCTTACATTAATAGTGAATACGAATTTGACACTCTACTCTATTCTCTGTAGCATTTCTTTGTCAAGAAAGGGCGGGGTACAGCACATTCACAGGTGCGTGCTACTGGTCAAGCCACTGGTGCACAAGGTATGGAAGCAGGTTGCATTCATTGTTCCTTTATTATTCCTTCCAAGCATTTATGGTAGTGTAGATTTCAAACCGAACCATATCCTCTCCCTTGCAGCTGAGTCTTTCTCCCGCCCTTAATAATATACCCACGTACGTCTAACACGATGGGCTGGAGAGACGACTGGCCTTCTATGCCCGATGGCAGCGAGTACAATGGCATGCAGCTACTGCCTCTAGTGCGCGCGGGCAAGAGCCCATTCCAGGGCGTCTGGGACGTCAACCTCCCCATCCGCGAAATCGAAGAGCACACAAATACCAAGATAACAGACATCGCAACTGTTAGGAAAGGCTCTAACAACTATGTACGCTGTTCGGTATCAGTCCTTTCTGTGGTGAAAGTCTAACACCCTTGAGGGACTCCATCTGAAAGCCTCAAACAGACCGGATCTGATGGCTCGACTTGCCCGTGGCGATGTCAACATGCCCGACTTTGATGGCTTCCCGATCGAATGGCAGGCACCAGAAGCTGCGTTCGAGGCGGCTGTCTACGATCTCCTGAGAACGGAGCCTGCCATTCGAGCATCCCGCCTGATCTATCACCGCGTGCCGGTTCTACATCCCGGTCCAAACCGTTCCATCCCCCTCGACCTCGCTGGACGCCGGCTTTTCGTCTTCGAAAAAGCGGAGGGCCGGGATAAAGTATGGCGCGAGCTCAGTAAACCTGACAAAGTAAGTTTGTAAACTTCCCAGCCATCTTAATTAGTGCTAACCTATGACAGCTGCGCCTCCTTGACCAACTGGCCACCGTCCAAGCCGCTTTGTTCCACTATACCCCGCCGCTCGACTTCGCGCAGCGCCACCTCCTCGACCGCCTCTACGACTTCATGCCGGAAACTCTATCTCACCCCGTAGCCCCAACGCGTGAGTTCTGGCTGCACGTCATGGAAGCCAAGATCGACGCGACGATCCGGAACGAAGGGGCCCTGATCGGCTGGGAGGACGATCACGAGACCGTTGGGCCCGGTGCGCTGGCGGCAAAGAAGTCTCTCTTACGTGCACTGCCCCATCTCATACCGCGCGAAACCACCGACGGGTCTCTGTACCGTCTTGCTCTCGACCATGGGGACTTTGGTGTCCATAACACCACAGTCAAGGTTACTGAAAGTAAGGGCCGCGGACCCCTCGTCACTTCCCTCTTCGACTGGGAGACGGGTTGTATCGTCCCGGCAATCCTGTCGGACCCCTTGGTGGCCGTCGACCCCGTTGACTTGGCCGCTGATGAGCGGGGAGAACCATCCGTGGCCCGGATTATTCCGAAAGAGCATGCGTCGTCTGATATGGAGAGATATACTGGGTGGGCGTGTCATTATATCCAGGTACGCTTCTTTCCTTCCAGTCATCCAGAGCCATACAATGCATGGATACGACTGACCTATTCCACAGAGCCTGTACACCAACGCACCCGATTACAAATTCGCTATCCAAGCTGGCAAGGACATCCGGCACTAGTGGTTTGCGTTGCGGGACTGGCGCGGCGGAGACTCGGAGAGGTTCTTTGGCGGGCTTGGGGACTGGGCTGAGATGCGGATGCGAGAGCTAGGAGTGCGTTTGGATTAAGCCTGGTTAGTTAAATGTATTTTCGTGGTTCTAGGTGTAGTAGACAAGGTAGACTGCCTGCTTTCAGCTCGTCTTGCAACTTGGAAGGCGCAGTGACAAGAAGGTATGGTACTAGATATCTGGAGCAGAACTATGCAGGTGCCTGTCTGAGATGGAGAAATCAGTTCAACTGTCTCCCAACTGGAGGTTTCAAGATTGCTTAGCATCGCGGCCCCGTTCCTACTCCTACCATGGTAGGAAGCTATGGATAATCTTTCAATGTTCCATTTTACTGATTCTGTACCGCCCGAGCAAGGCAACCATATTCAAGGCCCCGTTGCATACGTACACAACCTTGCTTGGCAACGAGCAGTCTTCTAGGCAGCCGGGATGATCAGAGGTATAAAGGCAAGAAGAACACCTCGAACTCAAGTTGTCGATAGCTGCACCACAATGGCTTGTCCGGCACCATCCACTCCAATCCCACCTCCACCTCCCCCGATGCCACCAGCCCAACTACCCCTTCATCAGGCATCTTTTCCCGCAAACGAGTCCGATTCGGAAGCTCTCGAGCTACCATTCAAAGCTCACGGCAGCACCAAAGAGAATACAGAGTATGAATTCCCCAAGCTGTCGGAGAATACGGGGAGTGTATCCCTTCGTGCTGTGATCGGCCAGTACCTGGGTAGTCCCAACTCACGAAGAACAACCGCCCGTCAGCTCTTCCATATCCTCGGCCGCCTCCGTTGTCTACGCCGTGCTCTCGAGGCGTACAATTCCGGACTGCCCTCGCAGTCAGCAGAGTTCGTTCAATACTGGCGCCATCACACGGTCAGCCTGCTCTCGGGCTTCGGGTTCCGACCGGCGTCCAGCATTGATCCAGCCCCGTTGACGGTGACCGGACTGCCTGAATTGATCTGTCACGTCGAGACACTGTTCGCGCAGGACATTGCAGAGGCGCAGGAGCTGCTGCAGACCGGATTTGTATCTTTTGATGGCCTGGGTGAGCTATTTCGCCCGGACAACCCGGTCAAAGCGACGACTGGGATTGGGAATCAGCCGCCTGTCTTCCGCGTGCTCGACTCGTTCTACCAGGAGCGACGAAACGTCCACGGGACGCAGAGGCTCTTCCATGTCAACCTGGAAGTCGTCGTGCCGGTGGGCGATCACTTCTCCGTCGCCGCCTTCTCCGAAGTCATCCCTGCCTGGGGCGGCGCGCGAGTCAAGAAACTGAGCGAGTTCGCGTACCAGCCTGTCACGCCGCAGGAGAATGAGTACTTCCAGACCCGTGGGGACCGCTGCGCCGAGCTGGGAACCGGCAGCGACAAGTACCTGGCCTATTCGGCGCATTCGTTCTTTATGCACGGTAGTCGTCCTCGCGGTACGGCGTCCATGGCACAGGGCACGAACAGCTCGGTCTCGCTCACAGGCGGGAGGATCATGGTTGATATGGCGCGCGGGGCATCGCTCGGCCATTACCCCTGTCAGGGCGTTGATGAGGTCTCGTTGGCAATCATCAGTCTATCCCGGCGGTATCAGGCATGGGTCACGAAGCGGTCCAGCGCCGCGTCTGACGCGGACACCGAGCTCCTCACAGTCTGGAAGACCGTCCCATACACGATGAAGATCTACTGCTGGCCGTACCTGGTTGGGTTCAGCTTTACCGCCAAAGCCTGGGGCCACGTTGCAATCGGAGGTCTATCCCGCATCGCCTTCGCAGAAGACGCATTCAACCTTCTCGTCCTCCCACCAGAGCGCAAGCAGCTTCTCCACGCGGTCGTGCGGCACGGCACGGCGCCACAAGCACAACCCCCCGACCTCATCACCAGCAAGCAGGGCGGGCTGATCTTCCTCCTCCACGGCCCCCCAGGCGTAGGCAAGACCCTAACCGCCGAAGCCGTGGCTGAAGTCCTCCACCGTCCCGTGTACCACATCACAATGGGCGAGCTGGGGTTAACCCCCGACGAGCTCGAGTCCCGGCTCAGCGACGTCCTCGCGCTCTGCAGCAAGTGGAACGCCATCGCGATCCTCGACGAGGCAGACGTGTTCCTCGAGACGCGGAGCACGTCGGATTTCGTCCGCAACGCCATGGTCTGCGTCATGCTGCGCATCCTCGAGTACCACCCCGGCATCCTGTTTCTGACGACGAACCGCGTGCGCAGTTTGGATCCGGCGTTTGAGAGTCGGATTACGGTTGCGATGCGGTATGAGGGGCTTGATAGGGGGGCGAGGAGGGAAGTGTGGCGGAATCAGCTGGGTGGGATTGCGGTCGCTGAGGATATTGATTGCGAGGCCCTTGCTGAGAGGGTGTTGAATGGGCGCCAGATTAAGAATGCGGTGAGGTTGGCGCTGTGTTTGGCTGCTGAGAAGGGGGAAGTGCTCTCGCAGGGAACGCTGCTGGAGACGTTGGAGATCACGGCGTTTGCGAGGCGGAATATGGGGGCTGACAATGGGTGGGAGGATAGTTTGAACTCTTGATTTGGGAGGAGGTTGCAATTAGACTTCCAGGGTCAAGATGGATTTTTAGACGATTTTTAGACACAAGAGGAAAGTATAGATTGTCGGAAACATACCCAGGTAGAATAGAATATATAGAGCAAGAGGGCATCCGTCTAGGCGTTTCTAGAGTGTGGCACGGCTGACATGGAACTGTTGTAGAGATTCTTCTCTCTATTTTTCCTGATGTCCACTCCTGAGAGATCCGAGAACACCAATTGGAATGAGTATGCTCTTGAGTGGATCCCGTTCATGCGCTACCACCAATTAGAAGAAGCTATGCTCCTCAGTGGATCCCGCTCATGCGCTAGCGGGCCTCAGCCGCCTTGCAGCTGGCCAATGGCCGGTCTAGGGCCCGTGGGGCGCCGCCAGCTGGTACAAGTATAAGAGCAATCCATTAGGTATGAACGGACGCTCTATTCTCAATTTTTATCTTTCTCTACCACGCACCCCTGGTACCGCTATCGCCATCATTGCCATCCCCGTCCTCACCCATTCTTTTCCACCGCAATTGAGAACATCCCCACGATGTCCGGGGAAAACAAATCGATCCTGATCTTCGGCGCCTCAAGTCCCACCGGCCAACTCACAGTCCAGGAAGCGCTGCGCAATAACTGGACCGTCAAGGTCTACGGCCGGCGCACGCTGCCACAGCACGTCGAGGACCCTTCTATCACAGTACCTCTCTTCCGTCCCTTGTTCTATATCCCAGCTAGACTAACGTTAACGCTAACTCAACCAGACAGTAGAAGGCCCCCTCGACGACACGGAAAAGCTCCGGCAGGTTATCAAGGGCACAGACGTGATCATCTCCTTCCTCGGCCCGTCGGGCACAAGAATCGCCAACACGCCGTTCCCCGCGTTCTACGCGCGTCTCTTCGGCCTCATGCGTGAGGAGAACGTAAGCCGGATCATTGCGCTGAGTACATTCAGCGTTGCGCATCCGAGGGACAGATTCAGCCTGCTCTGTCGATTATTGGTAAGCATGCTCTGGGTGTTTGGGAACAGCGCGTGGAGGAATCTGGTTGAGGTTGGGAGGACGTTTGATGAGCAGGCCACTGGGCTGGAGTGGACGTTGTTCCGGGTGGGGTTTCTGAAGGATCGTGATGATGGGCCGGGGAGGATTGTGCAGGGGTATGTTGGGGATGGGAGGCTTGGGATGGGGGTGAACCGGGTGGATGTGGCGCGGTGGGTGGTTGGGCAGGCGGGCAAAGAGAGGGCGGAGAATGTGGGTGATAAGCCGGGGCTTTCGTCGGCTTAGATTGTTTTTAGTTTGTGTGATTGTAGCAGGAATGTCACAAGTAAGACGCCAATTGTCTGGGTCAGTGTCTGAAGTAGATGTATGAAGCTAGCTGGAGCGTTTGTGCTATATCTCCTCCAGCGGCCTAGCGGCACGTTCCCGACAGTGGAGAATAGTCACCTATAAAGGCATTTGGCTTACGCCGCTGAACAGGCTACCATAGGTTAGGGTATGGGATGATCTAGTCGGCCATGGGCGCCCCTGACCCGCTAGCGCATTTGCCCTACCAGGTATACATAATCTCACCTGGTCCTCATCTCAAGTATCTTCTCACCAGATATCAAACACGAATAATGGCAATGCTTATTCCCACCGTATTGGCAGTATGCCTCGGACTCCTGGTCTATGCGCTGGCACGCCTGCGGTTCGCCCGCATGACACAATATGCGCACCTCCCGGGGCCAGCGACATCTCTCTTATGGGGGCATATCAGACTTATGGTCCAATTGCTCCGACCAGATCCCTCGAAGCACTTTCGTACGGGATCCTCTCAGACATGCCGTCGAGTGACAATCATCAACTAACACGAGGCATTCGCAGAATACGCAATCCACGATCTGATTAAACGCCAACCGGATACCACGGGCCTGAGTATGCCAGCCGGCTTGACAAGTAGCTCCGTGCACAAGGAATTGAGAGTTGCTGATAACGAGAGATAGTGCTCCTCGATCTGCGCCCCGCGTTCTACCCCATCGCCGTCATCTACTCGCACGACCTAGCCGAACAGATCAGCAGGGCAACGCCGCAGTTCAAGTACAGCGTGCCCAAGGCGCCGCTGCAGGATATGATTGGGCATGTCATCGGGCGCGACTCGTTCCTGGTGTCGAATGGTGAGGCGTGGAGAGACACGCGCAGGATGTTCAATGCGGCGTTTGCCCCGAGTCATCTGGCCAGCTTTTTCCCGTCGATTCTCGAGAAGGTCCAGACGTTTCTGCGAGCTCTGGATGGGCATGCCAACTCGGGGGATGAGTTTAACCTGGGTGAGCGGTGCACGCTGCTTACATTTGATGTCATTGGTGAGTGCAACCTTGGCAACAGTCTCGCGATATGTGGATGTGGACCGAGAGAGTAGCTTGTGTTCTGACTGCTGCAGGCCAAGTGATCCTGAATATCGACCTGCACACCCAAGGAGAGGAGTCGGAGCAGCATGAAGTCGTCCGCTGCTTCTTGGAGCTCCTCGCAGACCTCCCTTGGCTGCCACAGGTGCAATGGCTGCTCAGTCCGCGCAAGTACCGCCGGCGGATGAAGATCACCGCAGCGATCGAGACTTCGCTCCGCTCCATCATCCAGGAGAAATTCGACAAGCTGCGCGAGAAGCCGGAGCCGTCGGTGTCCGACCAAAGCGTGCTATCCCTAGCACTACAGGGCGTCGACTCGCTAACCCCCCAGACAATCCAGACAACCATCGACTCGATCCGCACGTTCCTGTTCGCCGGGTACGATACAGCCTCCGTCTTACTCCAGTGGGCCCTCTACGAGCTTTCGCGCACCCCACGCGCCCTGGCAGCGCTCCGCACAGAGCTCGATGACATCCTCGGCCCAACCGCCGACCCAGCTCCCACAGCAGCCGCGATCATTGCCGACGCCGCAAAACTCAACCAAATGGTCTACCTCACGGCCGTGATAAAGGAGACCCTCCGCCTGCACCCACCAGCCGGAACATCCCGCTTCGTGGCACCAGGATCAAACTTCACCTTGCAAACACCCGACGGCCCCCTAGCCGTCGACGGGGCAATTCTATATCAGAACCACTTCTCCATCCACCGGGATCCGACCGTCTACGACGCAGCGGAGGTTTGGGTCCCGGAGCGCTGGCTGCAGGGCAGCGGCGAGGGCTTCGCGCCCGGTGCGTGGCGGCCGTTTGAGCGGGGCCCGCGCGCGTGCATTGGGCAGGAGCTGGCGATGCTGGAGGCCAGGCTTGTGCTTGCCATGGCGGTGCGGCGGTATGATTTCGTCAAGGTTGGGCTTGGGGCGGCGGATGGTGGCGCAGGGGCAGGGAGGGTGGATGGGCATGGGCAGTATGTGAGTGCGGAGGCGTTGTACGATGTGAGTCCTGATTCAATGTCAATTGTTCCCTGGCATGCTGAGACTGATCAACCATTCCTATGGTAGACCTTTAACATGTCGGCCAAGCCGGTGGATGGGACGCGGATGAGGGTCCGATTCCACGAGGAGTAGATGGCGGGGCACGAGAGGCGCAGCGCACTGTGATTGGCGGAGAAGACTCTACTACCGATTCTGGTCTAGCGCCCAATTCAGCCTTGCTGGCGTTTTCCTCTCGAGGGGTTCACTTGCATGCCTAGGGTTCCATTCCTCCATACACATATCTCGCCCAGCCATTGGATATAAACATCTAGGTCTCGCAGGCTTGCACCATGCTCCCATCCACATCCCCCACCCCCACCCAACAGTATACAGCCGAGGCGTGTTTCGCATGCAAGAGCAAGAAGCGGAAATGCGACAAGCAGTTGCCGGCTTGCTCGCGGTGCAGGAAGTAAGCAGCTCCAACCAACCAGAATGACGAAGAGCTAATGCTGATTTACTGCCCTAGAGTGGACCAGGAGTGCTTGTATGGGATTGCAGCCGATGGTGTCTATGGCAAGATTGTTCCTGCCACGAACAACGACCTGTCCACGTACGTAACATACCGTGCAACCAGCAAGGACACGTCTGATAGAGCACAGTTCGAATCATCTCCTACCGAGATCAGAAGAGGCTCTACCGACATCAAACTGGGGCTCGTGTGGTCGATGCAACAGGTTGAAGAGGCGATGTGATAAGGAGTTGCCATCGTGTTCAAGGTGTAAAAGGTATTCTGCTTCCGGCTCTTCCAGATACACCAGAGTTGATGTTCATCCTCCAGGATGGGTGCCCCCTGCGCCTACGAGAGATTACAGCGACGACGCCTTCTGAGCTCCCGGCACTTATTTTCCGTAGACGTGGCATCTGCTTCCATGAGCATCGAGGTCCCGCTGAAGCTGTCCTATCCCGTCGACTCGAAGCCGTACATCCCGTCGCTTGTCCACTCATGTATGCCTGCAATCCAAATATAACCCTAGGTATCTAACAAATCAGTCCAAGAACGCATGGGCCTCTCCGCACTGGCCGTCGAACCCGACAGTCTCGCCCACCACCTCCGCTCCTCGTGGATCCGGCACGCCCTGGCCGATCCATGTCTCATGCACGCGACCCTATACGCCGCATCCGCACACCTCGATACCCTCCGAAACACAACCGCCGCCTGTTCAAGTCCAAATCCCGTCACCCTGTACCACCAGACCGAGACCATCGCCGCCGTAACCGCCAGAATCGCGTCGGGGGGTGTTCTCACCGATGCAACGATCGCCTCGGTCCTCCTATTGGTCATCACCGGCTCGCTGCAGACAGACGACGGCGCGACGGAAGCGCATCGGTCGGGCTTGATGCGCATGGTGACGATGCGCGGGGGCCTGGCGAAGCTAGGGTTCGATGGGGTTCTGGCGCGGATGATCCAGATGTAAGTTCGGTCTCGGCTGTTGGTGGTGGTCTGACTCGTATCTGCCAGGAATATGGTCCTCCCAGCCGTGGTCTTCGACCTCGACCAGCTGGACGCAGGTGCCTCTGTCGCCGACGGCATGGACCCGAACCCGAACTCGCCGGCTTCGAGCAATCTAGCCGCTCTTGCGCTTGAGAGCCTCGGGCAAAGTACAAGTACGGGCACAAGCGGGAATCTGTCCGTCACGTTCCACATGACGGCCATCTTCGCGCATGTGTGGGAGCTGCTCGTGGCCGTTGACTGTGGGGAGGATCCAGAGACCGGACAGTCCCTGTTTGACTTTGCCAGCGCGCGTTGCATCCTCGATATTGATATCCCGCCCGACAGCTCGAGCTGCATGGACATGTCCAAGACCGAGACCGCAATGGTGCAGGCATGCCAGGTCTCCCTGCGCATCCTGCGGCATCTATGCGATGACCGAGTCGCTCCGCAGACTGAAGAGTCACCACTAGTCACACTAGTCGAAGAGATGAAGTCGCATATCGCCGCCACCGACTCGGCCGTCTGGCTTCGGTACGCGGCGCACGCCAACCTGTGGGTTACGACGCTCGGCCTGGCTGTTTCGACCGATGTCCAGGGGCGGCTGTGGTTTCTCATGCACGAGCGGTGCGTGGTGATGTCGATGAAGGACTCGCGGCCGGCGCCGCATGAGATGGTGTGGGCGTGTTATTGTTGGCTGAGGAGGCTTGTTCGCGCACGGGATACTGGGCTGGACATGCGCATCGATTATCCGAGTATGTTCGGAGTCTAAAAGCACTGGTGAGCTAGGCAGATATAAATCCATACCCAGGCATGCTATACATACCTTCTACCTCTTCTCCCGGGACATCCATGGATGGATATGTGCATGTGAGTTCTCCAGTTACGGCTTCCTGCGGCAGAGCCATAGCCCATGCTACGTATGGGAGGTACCTACAGAGTACAGTCGTACTGTTCGCAATTTGGAATCGGATAGCCTCGGTCGTTGTGTTCCAATTGTTTAGATCATAAACATTGTCACTCGATATACTCAGCCCTCCTCCGCTTGCGAGGACGGACCCGTGGTAAGCCCGAAAGCTCCTGCAGCTCCTCATCCGCAGACGCAGACGCAGACGCACAATCTTTAGTGTCCCATTGAAGAACCCTCAAAGCGCTTGCTCACACAACCTGTGCTGCCGAGTAAAGCAGCCCTAGAATGTGTGATCTCATCCCTGGCCGTGTAATGTAAAGTTGACTCCCTCCCCCATGGCGCGCTGGTTAACACATTCAGTCCACCTCCAGCTAGGATTCAATCTCCCCCATCAGCACATCAACCGCCAACCTCCCCTGCATCTTCTCCTCATACCCCTCAACAAACCTCACCCCAAAATCCCTCACAAAATTATCATACGTCGTATCCGGCTTATGCACACAAAGCCCACACATAAGCTTCCTCACCCCCTCCTTAAACCCCAGCAACGGAAACTCCCCAACAACAGCCGCATACTCCTCTCTGGTAACCAAACCCCCCGGAAACGCAGGCCCCACAAAATCCGCAAAGATCCCCATCGCACACAGCGCAACCTCACCCTCTTTATGCTGCGCAATGCTCGGCGTCGTATGCAGCGCAATACTATCCCACACGAGCTGGCGCCGGCGGGCGTCGAAATGGCTCTGATTCTCGGCGTCATCGAGGAACTGGCGCGCTGCGTTCGCGCTGTCAACCTCGAACCGCTTGTCCTGGGACGCGAAGACGCTGGTATGGTCCCATGCGAGATCGTGCAGGATTGCGGAGACGGCGTGGACTTCCAGGTCGATGGGGCCGGGGCCGGTGCTGGGGCTGGGGCTGGGGCTGGCGTAGAAGGGCGGTTTGGAGGCGATTATGCACCCGAGCAGCCAGGAGCGGTGGACGTGGTTGAAGGACATGGGGTCGTTGTGTTTTCTTGCGTGCGTGAGGGCTGCGGTGATGAGGGGGGTGTCTGGGACGGTGATGCCGGCGATGGTGCGGGTTTGGTGCGTATGCTGGGGGGATGACATTGCGGCGGGTGATTAGGAATGGATGGTATGGTAGGTAGGTTTTGGAGATGTCCACGGGTAGTTGGAGAGGTAATCTAGGTAGGGAGTAAGCATGGGGTTATCGGGCTTATATACCCGTCCCTTATGCAGGGTATATCCATGCTGGGGCCGGATTTCCGATCACTAATCAAGTCTTACATGCTCGTTACGTACTCCACAACGTCTAGCTAGTTGGTTTGTACGGTATGGCTGGACACACGGGCTCCGCGTGATCCCTCGGTCTAGATCTGAGTAAGCCCTAGGGACGCCGTACTACCACAGCTTCCCGTCTATGGGTGTTCAATCCCTGTCAGCCGCGGCAGTCTTCCTGGGCCTTGGAATCGGCAGTACGGAGTATGGTGATGGTGATGGCCCTCGACAAATGCACTACAATCGGCCTATTTGGCGGGAATTGTCAGTTTCCTAACACACCGTTTGGTTATCACCACCCCGCCGCTCGCTGTCCGCGAACATGGTGGAGCTAATGTATAAATGTTCTAGAACTTGGGAGCAATATGTTATTTTTTGGCAACGCTAGCTTATGCTTTGCTGAGTTGAGTAAGATATGAAGCCTAGATATACTAGAACCGTACTCAGGCAGGCCTTTAGTAGGTATAATTAGCTAGGTAACCCAGAAATAAACATTGATTGAAATTTTAAAGCATCCACAGATACCTCCTTGGTAAACCTTCATATATAACTACTTTAAGTGGTAGATTAAGCCCAAATACCCTGGACTTACTATACCTCTACCAAAGCTGAAAGGTGCATGCGATTTACACCGACTTCCAGTGTATCCTTGCCTGCAGTGCATGATCCGGCATGTTCGCGAGACAGTTAAACGGCGGAGCGGCAGCATCACTGGGCATTTGAAATGCAATTCCCCCCTATTTGTCGCATTGCCCGCCAAGTCCCACTGCATCATGCAACTCTTGTTGGGAAGCGGTGCGGGGTAGATGGGCATATACTCCGTAGGTTGCACAAGAGAGGATGATAAATAGCACCCTAACTACTGTCCTCCTGGAGTCCTCTATTATCAAAGCACCAAAATGTCCGCCACGCAGGTTGTCAAGTCCCACGGCCCCTTCCAAGGGCTCCCAACCTACCCCAACACCCCTGAGCACACCAACCTGACTGCCGTGGTGACTGGTGCAAATGGGCTATCCGGTTACCATATGGTCCGGGTGCTGGCAGCAGCGCCTGAGCGCTGGAGCAAGATCTACTGCCTGTCCCGTCGGATGCCACCCTCCAACTTCTTTACTGATCTGGGTGATGGTGCAGAGAGGGTCGAGCATATCTCGGTTGATTTTCTCTCAGAGACGTCGGAGATTGCGAGTCGTTTGAAGGAGATCCCTAAAGTGTACGTGCTCTACGCCCGAGTGCGACTTCCTACTAAAGAACTCATGTTATAGAGACTACATCTTCTTCTTCTCGTACATGCAGCCACCACAGGACGGCAACGTCCTAGGAATGTGGTCGGATGCTGAGGCCATGACCAAGGTCAACTGTACAAGACCCATTCCTTCCTTCCTAACAGAATTACTATATTGACATCAAACAGCAACCCTCCTCACCAACTTCCTCAACGCCCTCCAACTCACAACCCTCCAACCAAAGCGCATCCTCCTCCAAACAGGCGCAAAGCAATACGCCTTCCACATCGGCCCCCCAACAAACCCCTCCTTCGAATCCGACCCCCGCGTCCCCCTCGAATCAAACTTCTACTACCCCCAAGAAGACACGCTCTCCTCATACTGCACCGCAACAGGAAGCAGCTGGACCGTCGCGCGCCCCTCATACATAATCGGCGCCGTCCGCGACGGCGCCCTAAACCACATGATCGGACTGGCAATCTACGCAGCGATCCAAGCACACTTGCACAAACCGCTGGATTTCCCCGGCGACTATGGAGCATGGGACCGCGAGTTCTGCCAGAGCACGGGTCTGCTGAATGCGTATTTCGAGGAGTGGGCTGTTTTGAGCCCCGACGCTCACAACCAGGCGTTTAATATCCAGGATGGACTGCCGTTTACGTGGGGAAGGTTCTGGCCGCTTCTGGCGGAGTGGTATGGCGCGGCTTGGTGCCCGCCTGAGGTGGATGGGGCGAAGTATAGGGTTACTGAGTCGAGATATGCGGAGACGCCGAGGGGGTATGTTTGCTATTTTCCTTTCCCGCGTTCCAATGGATCGAGCCTGAGGGATCTGATCTGTGCTGACAGGAACCTCTACCTAGGTATGGTCCTACAGGCATCACGCGCTCCACATTCAGCCTGCAAGAATGGTCTGCGCTCGACTCGGTTCAGACGGCCTGGGCGGAGCTGCGTGAGGAGCACGACCTGGTTCTCGACCCGTTCACGGCCCAGAACCGCGCGCAGATCTTCGGCATGACGGACTCGGCGGTCATTGGGGGCTGGGCTCTTTCGTTGAGTATGCGCAAGGCCAGGAGCATGGGGTTCTTGGGGACTGTGGATTCGTACGAGACTATGAGGATTGCTGTGCGGGATTTGGCGAGGTTGAAGCTTGTGCCGCCGATGAAGGGGGAGTGGGGTGCAGCTGTGTAGGGAGGAAGTTGTGTTCTTTTGGGACACAGGGATGGAGTTTGGGCAGGTGTATCAGATTGGTGGACAGAATGGCAAATTGATCTATGGTTTCAGTATTCCTTTTTTTTCTTTCTATGTGCAAGCGCGTATTTTGTTTTGAGAATGGCGCAGCCCAGATACCTCGATTTTGAGTCTCGGACGGGGCTTTCAATCATGGCATCATGGCCACAGTTTTAGTATACATATTTAAGATGGATGCAATTTGGTGGTGTGGGAAGGATCTGTTGTTGGCCGTCAGGCCAGTAAGGGATTAAATCCAGCATATGAAGTCATCTCTATCACTTTGTACACATTGCTTCTGCCTTTCATGCCCAAGCTCTTACGGTTACACTTAACCTTAAGCAGGTTCTCGTCTGACTCTGGTTGAATTGCCATATGTACAATCAGACTATATACAAAGCTCTACCCTCTCCAGATCCCCTCGCAGTCACAGTATATCAACAAAGCAAGACCAAAACAGTCACAATAGACTTGCGCAATCTCGGCAAAGGGTAGCAATGCTTAGAGAGCCTGCACTTGGCCGAGAATAGACTGCATCTGGCCATACTGATCGGCGTTCAAGTTGTTGTACAGAAGGCAAGCAGAGCCACAGGGGGTGGGGATAAGACCGTCGCCAGTGAAAACACTGTTGAGAACCATGCAGTTGGAGGGGAGGCCGTCGATTTGGACACCTGCACATCATTAGCCCAAGATTCCTCGTTCCAACCTTATTTTCAGTAAGTAGCTTACCATTGTTCTGCACAGGCCCCGTAACAGTAACAGTAACCGCAGGATCCATCAGACTATCAACACACATGTCGAAGTTATACTGGGGCACACCGGCAGGCGCGCTGATGGCAGCGGCGCGGCCGCTAAGAGGCAGACCGCGGGCCTTCGCGAAGTGCGCGGCCGCAATGGCACCGCCGAAGCTGGCGGCGGCCGAGCCGACCTGCGCAACGGTCATGGCGACGGCGTCGGCGACGAGGGGGACGGCGATGAAGGGGCACTGGACTTGCTGGCCGAGGAGGTAGATGGCGGTGGCGGCGCCGAGGGCTTTGAGGGAGGTGGTGGCGATCATTTTGATGAGTTGAAGATGAAGATGGAGAACTGGAGGTTCGTTGAAAGGTTGGTTTGAGGCTTTGCTGGTCTGGTGAGAGAGGATGAGGATGATGATGGACAGCAAGATGGAGGTGAGGTGAGGGGGTTCTTATACCTTTTGCCGGCTGCGTTGAGGCCTTCGCAGACCGAGGTCTCGCATAACCTTCCGCGATCGAGGATACTTGACCGAGCTGAGGCTGAGCTGGAGCATTGAGTTAGTGTTCGCGAAGTCGATACCTCATGACCTGCGAAGGTCTTGGCTGAGGAACGAATCTCAAGCCTCTCAATGCTATACTCCGGAACCAACGCCAAGTATGGCACCAAGGAACCGCCAGGACTAGGGCTTGAAAACGTGAAGATCTGCAGAGGAAGACGGGGGCGGTCTTGCTTGCAAGCTACCTCAGGTGTGCTTGCACCCTTTACTCCGTAGTCCGTAGAGGTGGGTCTCCATCTTGCCGATGTAACAAACCAATACGCCTCTTCTTAGGCCTCCCAGTGGGCGTATACAGCTTGGCAGGCTCGAAGGGGCAGGTCATACGAAGTATATAGATTAGCGAATCCACATTCCCGCCCCAAGGGAGGGTCATCGAAGTTGGACGGGGACCCTGCCAAGGAACACGCCTCACCCGCGGAGTTGGACTCTTGTGTCGGACAGAGTCCGTGATGAAATTGACGAGTTCGCCAATCATGGAAGGGTCCGAAGCCAGCGGGTCCCTAAGTGTCTGCAGGGACAGCGCCTCAGTGGGGACACAACCTTGGAAAGGGGGTTGGCCCCCAAGCTTATAGTAGCCAGGGCCCCACGGGGTACTCTGCCAATTGATTGGAAGTTTTTACAGGGAGTTAGGGGCCTGCAGGCCAAGTTTGCTTGTTATACAGATATATTGGTGCAATGGCTGAAAGCATTTTACATGGCGAAGTCTAGAGGTGAGTGGCTTATGGCATACTTTGATTAAGTTTGTATCTGCTATTGGGGAATGCTCGGAAAGACAAAAACGGCAAGTCTTGGATATGGCCGGGGGACTAAAAGGTCCGTCACTGAGGCATTTCTTCATCGTCAAAAGTAAGCGATACGGGGGCCTCACATGATGGCAGTGGGGAATCCATCATCCACAGGGCTCAGACATAATTTACCCGACCTTGGAAGGAGATTATTGAGAGTAAGCAGCTCTCCAGTATCCTCATCCCAATCTCGAGTCCAGTCACTCTACTTTCGTCAAATCCTCACTCCAAAGGCTGCCATGGATCTCAAACCCCTTCTACCCGTGTTCTACTACGCCATAGCGAGCGCGCTCACCATAACCGGTCTCAAGCAGCGCCGTCACATCCGCCTTCTGCTGCTAGGTCCAGTCTGGGTCCTCACATTACTGTCCTTAACCTCGGCTCATAGTCTGTCATGGATGATCGGGGCTGATAGCACGTTTGCAAGCCTGCTGGTCTTTTATCTTCTTTATTCGGCGAAGATTCTGGCCTTCGACCAACATGCCATTAATCCGGAGGTCAGGGGTGGCCATACCTGGAGCCCGAGCTTCCTTGACTGCTACCGGACATGGAATAATCCTCGTCATCTACCCATACGGCTGTCGCACTCGCCTCTCAAAAGGGACGCTACGTCAAGTGACTCCGGCCCCAACACCCTAGCACGGGTTGCCTTCAGCAAGGCAGCGAAGGCAGCGGCATTATGGTCATTCGAGCACTTCATCTTCCAGAAGTTCTTCATCCGCACACTCGGGCAAGTCGTCATTGCCGACTTCTCGCCTGAGAGCGAATGGCCTCACATGCCGCTATCGCCACACCAACTACAAGTCCGGGCAATAATGTCCGTGCAATGGATCTGGCGGGCCTATTTCTTCCTAGAATTCTACCATTCCCTCCTGGCAATCGTCTTCGTGGCCATCCTGCGCTTCGACGACGCCGAAGAATGGCCTCCTCTTTTCGGAAGTCCGATGAATGCGTACAGCGTGCGCAAGTTCTGGGGCCGCTTCTGGCACCAATTGACTATACCCACGTACATCTTCTACGCACGACTTGTTTCGAAATACGTCGTTGTACGGCCAGACTCGAACTTAGAAAAGACGGTAATCGCTTTCCTTGTCTTCACGATATCAGGCCTCTCGCATTCCTTGGTCGGTTTGGCGTTGGGGGATGCTGCGCTCTTCCGGGACGTTCTGTTCTTCGAGATGTGTTTTCTTGCGGCGGCTGGGGAAACTCTGGTGTTGAAATCGTACTCTAAAGTCTTGGGTAGCTTGAACTGGACATGGCCGCTATCTCGGATGGCGCGAAGAGTTGCGGGCATGCTCTGGGTCTTCGCCTTCTTTTTCTGCGTGGCGCCGTTGTGGATTTACCCTAAGATCTATCATGCTTTGCTCAACCCGCTTTACTGAGTTCTAGGGTTTATATACATGTATTTTAGATCAGCTAGTCGTTCCAAGAATACCCCGACACAATAAAGCAGCGAGCTCCCTAAGCCGCCCAACCTCTTGTAGAACGAGCACGATCCATCCGATGAATGGTATATACCCCCGCACGAATCCAAGGACCTCATTTCGGGTGAGATAATCCTGGCCGTCAGGATACAGTAGCATATCATCGATCAAGTTATTGTCCCCCTTTGTCAAGATGAGCTGCTGCGGCTGGCTACGGGTATCGTTAAGATTAGCTCGGAGTCAACGCAGTGCGACAAAGCAACAGAAGTGTCACACTGATAGGGGGCCTACGTACGCCAGATCTTGATTCCTTCGATCTTCCTCTTCATACATCACCCGATGCACCCGATGGACCATTGGGAACGCGCGATTAGGCAACCAGCACACAGGGAGGTCGCCGACCTCAACACTTCGATCGTGATTTGAGATGAGCAGAACGTCTCCAACGGCAAATGCTGGAAGCATGGACTCGGTGGTGACTATCATAATCGGGTATGGCGTGCCCGTCCAGAGACAGAGGGCCTTCCAGGCCATGAAGCAGGTGGCCACAACCTGCGCCGCGGCGAGGAACGCGTTCAGAGCAGACCGCATGACTGAGATGTGTATGTAAAAGCGCGGGCTAGAACAGCGATGCTTCAAAGATATGATGTAACCGGCGTCCGCAGTCTGTACTCCGTAAGCCATCTTCAGACCGCAATATAATCGACTGCAAGGCGTGGACCAAGGTTAAGCTAAGGTTCTTGGCGGCAGGGCCCGCCCCGCCCGCCCCCACTCACAGCCACACTTGGCGGGCCCCACTCAGGGTCCAACCTGCTTTAACCGCCTTGGCGCAGTTGAAGCGACAGGTATGACGAGATCTCGCGTGGAAAATGCCTCATTTGACACAAGCGGAGGTCTCTCGTATCTGTTGACTGATCAGGAAGGTGAGCCTCATCACGTGGTGGTAATTGGACCGCCAAAATCCATATCCTGTGTGTACACTCCTTCCTCTTCCATGCGACTCTCGAAAACTAGACCATCCATCGTCGAACAAATTTAAACCGCGCCCATGAAAATGGACTCCGACACCGAATCACTCAAGAAGCCTGTCGAGAAAAACATCCTCCTTGACCCCGCCGTGCTCTTCTTGTCGGCTCAGTCCGTCGTCGCTGAAGCGGACCCTTCCACTCCACTTTACGTACTAAGCACCGACATACGGTCCATCCCGAACAAGAACTCGTCGGTAAAACTCGAAAGAGTCGAGAACGTCGACGATGGGCCAGATGGAAGCCAGGGGGCGCCACCAAAGCGCCATCAGCATATCTTCTACCTTGTGCACCCTGAGCACGCGCAGTACCGCACCGATATTCCTGCGCGGTACTATATCACCTCTGCAGTACCGGAGACGGTAGGCAACATCCGCCTCGAGGCTTCCGAGGCACGACTTCAACGGACCTCCTTCAGAGCGCTGTTGAGTGCGGGAAAAACCGCGTCGGATAGACCCTTATTCAACGAAGGGGCCCAACAGCTCGTATTATTCGAGATTCAACCGAGCGGGAAAGTTGGTCTTAGTTCTACGAGCTACAAGTGGAGTGATTCGAAAGGTGACCAGGTGGCGACTGAGGGGAAAGAGAACAGCAGGTATTATCTGAAAGTTACGAGCAGCCTGCCGCAGGATGTTAGAGATGCGCTGGTTGCCACGTGGCTATTGAGGCTGTGGCATGATACAGCCGAGAGTAAGGAGGCGAAGAGGGAATGTAAGTCACATCGAATCGTTATAGTCAAGGCATCTAGCTAACTTGCTTCACAGTTTTCGAGAGCATGACGTCGCCAGAAGCGTACAGGGAAAGCGTGGATGGATACATGAAGAGGCAGTGCATACTTATGTGAGATTAGTTTGGTAGTATCTTGTCTTCTGGGTAGAAACACGCTATAACATGTGGACTGGAGCTATGGATTCCGCTTAGTCTTGAATTGTTTTGTTTCAATTCAGAAATATTCTGGGTAGATCACTGCCCAGGTGTATTTTACCCTGCTGGCATTGCCTTGTAGGCCTGTAGCAGTGCATTGATAGACCCTAAGCCAAGAGTCACGCATACAAGCGTGCTTGCAGAATCCTTAGCTTCGGGGTGGCCTAGAGCCATCATCATGTTCCAAGGAGGCCGGGGCAACGGCTAACTTTCCCTCTGGAGAGCCTTGAGATTGATACGAACTATATAAATAAAGTTCGCTTATATTGTTTTGGCCCCAAGGGATACCCATACCATAGCGATCTGCAGACCCAACTTTGACGACAAGACCAATCGAGGCCTTAACGCTTGACCCACTACCCACTAGCAACGTTAATGTCCTTCACTTAATCCAGGGCTACATGGCGGAGCTGCCCCGCTAGTGCTAGTAAAAGCCACTGAAGTCAAGGTCTCCCTTTAGGTATCATCCTAGATCCACCAAATTTTCAACGTTCCAAGTTCCAAGTTCCCCTAAATCCCATCATGGCCTCATATCATCATCAGGACGGCCGCTATGGCTCCCTCCCACAAACCCTAACCGTCCACGGCCAATGGACGAAACTAAAATCCATGAATCTCTGCGGCGCAACACCCAAAGACAAACTCTGTCTCATCGAAATGCAAACCGGCTACAGCGGCAGACCGCCGCTCGGGATGCGGACGGGCTTTATCCTGCGCGATGGGATGAGTTCCAAGGATCCTGTCCTTGCTGCAGCCGGTGACGAGGTGCCAGGTCTACATGCGTTTAATCCGAATGGAATTGTCTTTCTGCCGCGGCTTGAGTTTGATGCTGATACTAAGCCTCACGGTGAAAGCTTGGATACGGAGGTCATGCGCGCTGAACCGGGTTTGAACGATGATGTTGCGTTTCACTTTTCGATCGAGGTGGGCGAGGTGGGCGAGGAGGGGCGGCGGGAGGAGTTTGCGTGGAGGCGGGTTAAGGAGGGGAAGAAGAAGGGGTTCAAGTTGGTTCGGGTCGACAAAGATGATGAGCCTCAAGTTGCCTTCCTTGAATGGGTGATGGCTTGGCCGAAGCTGACGCATGCGTTTACGCTGCAATTGGCCGAGGGACAGGCAGAGGAGTTGGGAGGACGATGGGTACTTATGGTTGCGGTTACTGCGATCAGGCTCTATACGTTGTATGTCAAGGGGAAGACGAATAAGCTTGTTGTTGATATGGGGAGGGGAGGCTCTGAGAAGTAAGCCCATGTTGTTTGGCTCGGCGATCTTATACCCCGGACATGATTGATTATACCAATGATTGGCCATAGTACGATAGCGTCATGGAAGACTGTTTCCTGGTTGATTGTTTGAGATCCCTGTGATCCCATACCCCAATCACTTATGTAGCAGTTGAGAAAGACCTCGTCCTCTATTTAGTTCTGTGTTTACCAAAGTGCAGTCCTCAGAGTCTCCTTCAGAAATGTACCCATAGCACGTACTGACAGTACTCAAGGGTGATATCCTTGGATATCCCGGTAGCAAATGCTTACACATCCGCTTCCCTCCTCGACTTTCTCCTCCCCAATAGACCGGAAAGCCTCGATCCCGCAAGGTTTTGCGCTTGTGTATCTTGGGACCACATGGAAGCCTTCCAAGCACGCAGTGTTGATTTGATCCAATCATCCTCCCGGATGACAAGGAGTGCACCCGTTGCAATAACATATGTCGCGATGGCGATGACAACAAAAGTAATGATAAACGGTGTCCGCGAGGCAGATGATTCATCGTTAGGATCGAATAAATGCATTCCAAAGAATGACTGGACGAATAAGCAACCGTTGGCAAGAATCCAAGGACTGGGGAGAAGGTACCGTTACAAAGCCCATTGGAAGGTAGAAGACGGTGGCAACCGTGAAGACCAGGATATATCGGTTCTGACGGCGGCTGTTCTCGGCTAGCTTTGTGCCCTTCGAGGCTTCTTTGACGGAGGTTGCGTTGAATAGCTGGGATTGGGATTAGTATCCAGGACGTTGAGAGGTGCATGTACCTTATAAAGAAGTGGAACGTACGCCATCTCGAAGGCCCTTCACTTCTTCAACCTTCCGCTCAATTCGATCGAGTAATGGCTGGAAGTGCCTCTCGCTATTAGCAAGGACATCGACACAAAGTGCTTCGAAGGAATCCATATCATCATCTCCATCTGTAATCTCTAGCGATCTTGAGATTTTCCTTTTGGTATTCTCGCAGAGATCCCTGAAATCCCGGAGTGTTCCCTTAATCCAATCCGTACACATGTGCAGGGTCTGTAGAGCCGCAAAGTACTGGTCTGACTTTGAGAAGTCGTCGTCAAACATTAGGCTTCGCCGTTTTTCGCGAGTCATTTGCGCGAGCTATGGCATGGAATCGTTAGCCTTGTTCGTGAGGTAGAAGGGTGCCCAGGTGGGCATGGCATGAATACGCTTGTATGCAGTGTGTTATCCAACTGATCTAGAGTCAACTCCCACTGCCCTGCAGTCCACTCGAGTGTCGCAGAGATGTAAAGCAAATACATTCCAACGCCCATCAGTCTGCCGCTCAAATATCTTTGCGCCGTATTCTGGAGGCCCAGTCCAAGATACTCCTCAAGCGTCTGTCCGAAAAGAGGGGATTCACCATCTGTCACGCTGAGCAATGTATAGAGCGCGATTTTCTGACTTATCGTCGTCACCAGTCCAAACACGTAACGCTCTTCGCAGACTTGGTGGTCTCGGGGGCTGCCGTCCGGACCATTGGGTATGTCTCCCGCATCTCGATTTAATAAAATGCCATCTGCTTTCTTGGGCAAGGAGCGACGCTGTGGACTAACAGTCATCCAACGTATTTGGAAATACAGGGAGAGAAGCCCGTCGCTCACACCATTAAAAGCGTTGAATATGGGCAGCCTTCCCCAATGCGATGCAAACATCAAAATGCACAACCTGCCTGCTGAATCCACGTCCCAATCCATGTCCCGGCGGTAACCGGGCTTCCCGGCACTGTAGCTCTCAAGCTGCCACAAGATAAATGCCAAGGTTCTGACGGGGATCATGGCTCTCGCGTGGAGAGATATCGAGCTTCCTTGTAAGCTGGGGACTGGGTTCATCGAGTACCTTACAACTTACATGATCCGGCCGCAGACCCGTCCACCCCACGGCTCGGCTGGTGGCTGTGGACAACCTATAATGGTGGCTTCTTGCGTCAGGGCGCGGGCGGACTAACCTTTGCTCCATAAGTACTGACGAAACCCCAAACCAGGTTAATCAGAGAGGCGTGAGACACAACGCACACTGAAAGACCCAGAGCCGAGCCCGGGTGAAGGTCCGATCTTGAAGCATATCTTATACATATGAATTGAATGGTCAGGCCATAACACTTGCCGAAGCGCCCCGTCCATATTAAGACGGCGAGCGCCCGCGCAGTTCGGAAAGAAGCAGTCGAAATCAAATGGTGAATCTTCCAACGCATACGCAGCAGCGAGATCAATGTCTTGCGATGGGTCCTCGTAAACTGGCCATGCCGATTTCAACGTCTCGATCGAGCCTGTGTTTAGCGAGTCTCCCGCGTGATCCGAGTCCGAGGGAGCTGATATTGTCAATTTATCCCAATGGGCTTGATGGAGATCCTCGAATAGCCAAAAGAAATCTCTTTTGAGAATTAAACACAGCTCCTCATTTGGAATTCGGGAGCGGTGCCATTTCTCTTGAAAAGGAAGTATTTTGTCAGTCCACTCCTTATAGTCAATGTAGACCGCTCGTGATCGCTGGGACGTCGCTTTGATAGGTTTCGCCGCAAGACCCTCGAGATATTTATTCTGGTCCGCCAGCTGCGACCGAATCTCCCTGAGCGCATTGACTACCTCGCTCATTTGCTCCCTCACGCTCTCTTCCGGTGGCGACCCCGGGTCTGGGCCAATATTGGTCGGTGTCAGCGGCGACTCTGGAGCATCGTCTGCATGGCCGGTTGAGGACATATTGAAGATATCGACGGGGGAAATAAGGCAGGCCGGGTAAAGGGTAGGCCAGAGACGGAGTGAGATTGTTCCAAGGTTGTCGGTCGCAGAAGGAGCATCTGACAGCCTTACCTACCTACCCCTCCCCATCCGCCAAAAGCAAACATGCCCTAGCCTGGTTGGAGGGACCATTGCAGTCTGCACTACCAGGAAAGGCTCAGCCTCATGCCGAGAGTGTTTCAGTGGTCGTGATTTGCCCAGGTGATCGCTTGGGGTTGCGATTTTGGGAAATGAGGCTGTCGTCGCTTTGATTAAGGCTGGGAGGAAGCTGCCCACGTTGCCTCACCCGGACGTCTGATGGTAATTCATTCTGGAGGAAGGTGCTACCAAAATAGCCTTGAAAGGCTTTAAGTATTTCGTGCACGATACGACCCGTGTCTTGGGAGTAAATTTCTTTATTTCGTTCACTTGTTGATCTATAGGGTTTCTTGATATCTGTTCGCGTTCCCGGTAGCGTCTTGTCTCTTTTTTCTACCTGTATAAGACCTTGGATAGCTTACGAACTTGAAACCTGCACATGTCTCCAAAACTTCTTAATCAGATTAGACTCGCATTGTCTGCTCTTCGAGCTACAGGTCCGCTCCCCTGCATCTCCGCCACAGGCGGCCGCCAACGCCCCGACCCAATCTCAAATATCTCCTGGTCGGGGAGCTGCTTGGCTGCGCTTTGGCGAGCAGGGTAGCTCGCGTTTCCACCCATGCCAGCGGCAATTTTCTGGAGGAGTTTCTTCCTCGCTCTCCTCTCCCACAACGCCCAAGCCGCCAACACCAACGAGACTACTAGCAGCGGTACCCCTACCCCGGCACCAACTGCCACTATTTTCCCCGTGTCCGTGGACGCGCTGTCCTCTTCGGTGTCCAGGTTCGCATCGGCAGTTGCATTGGTATTGGCTGCGCTCTCGGTTGGCTTGACTGCCGTCGTACTTGTGCTCGTGCTCGTGCTGGAATTCGCCGTACTCAAAGCCGAGCTCGAATCCGCCGACAGAATCCGCTGCGGGTTGAAGCTATCGCGGGTCCCCTTCCCCCCGATATCAAGGAACAGCCCATTATCCGCGCCTTTCGTAGTCGTCGTCTCGCAGGGTGTAGACTCGCCATTGCCGCACCAGTATTTCATCGGCGCGGTATTCCCCTGCCCGTCGCAGGGCCAGATGTTGACGAAGGAGGAGCTGGATCCTGTGCATCATCCATAACCATTGTCAGTGCAGCTCTGTTATAGTTCACAAGGAGCCCACCATTCAGACTATTGCACGCATCCGGGCAGATGTTCACGTCGTCCCATTCTCCCATGCAGGCGCCGCGGTAGTTCAGGCCGACTTTGCCGTAGCAGAGGCCGCTTGTTAGGCAGATCTCGCCGACGAGACAGCAGGCGGACTTCTCGGCGTTGGGGTCGCAGGGCGCATACCCTTTTGCTTCGCTGCCGTCTGGCCACGTGCACTGTGTCTCGGCAAGGGCTGTAGCGATGATAGAAGCAATTACGATGAGAGATTTGAAAGTCGAGGAGGAGCGGATCATCTTGGTTGGAGTACTGATGGCAACTCTCCCATTGTAAGGGATATCCTTGTGGGTAGATTGAATGGAGGATAAAAGGAGGCAAGCAGAAGAAATTTAGAGAGTGGACGTCAATTCAGGGGGGGTCTTGACTTTTCTTGTTTTGCTGCTACCGACTGATAGCCGCGCAGATTACCGCAAGTTTCACATTGACAGTTAAGCAATGATTCTCTATTGGCGCAGCTGAGCTATAATAAGACGGCGCCTAGGGCGATTAGTTGATTGGTGTGATGGAGCATCTCTGTTGGCCCTATGCAGGGGTCTTTTGCTTGGCACACCACGTCACAAAGACTGGCGCTATGGGAGTTCATACGGAGTACGGAGTAGTCACTGGGTAATCAGGTACTTACAGTACTAGCTATGCAGTGTCTTATCTATTCAGCCTTCCACTCAGTGCGCGGCTCAAAGAAAGAGCTTGGGAGCACGCTATGGTCGGGGTGTTCAATCCATTCATACCTACCCTAGTCCCTAAGCAATGCCGTACCTACTTGGGGCAAAGCACGCACAAGCTTGACCTTTCTATTTCCATACATACCGTAGCCAGTCGCGTGCACAGTGCTATTGGCTTTGGATTAGGACCGGTTGGCTTGGGTATGAATATCCCATCGTATGCTGCATGCAGGTGGTAGGTACCAACCTAGGGCTTTGTCGCACGTGACTTGGCACGCCCTACCCATCAGGTCTCTTGACTGAGGTGATGTCCATCCGCTGAGAGTGATTAGGTGGTAGTGGCATGGATGTACCTAGGTATCTCCAAAGGCCCTAGTCGCAGAATTCCATCCACAGCCCGAGTAGGTATTTAATCCCGAGGTTCCTCCTGTGGAAAGACGCCTCAATCTAACCCTTAAGATTTTGATATATATTGTAAAGGACACAATGGATCCCTGGGCCTGTTGAGACGCTCGGACTAGGTAGGGCTCAAGCGAAGTGTTTTACTAGAGGGCTCTGGGTAGTACTGCATAGACAAGACCATGAATACGTCGCTTCAAGCCTCCAAGTACATGCAGTACCAGTATTCCCTCCTCACTATCCGCCCAGTACATCGCACCGCCGCCAGATCCCTACTTTAACGTATGCTCTATAGCAAAGTCGAATGCTATCCGTAGCTACACTAGTAATACTCCCTGCCCTTAGAAATCGGAGTAACAGAAGCCTTGGTCCCAAACGCCGCATGCCTATACTCTCCAGCACCCTCAATCTCCCCAAACCGCAGGCGAACCTTCCCAACATCGACACCCATCTTGTCCGACCCAAGACAGTTCCCAACGGCCAAGCCATCCAACTCAGGATTCCGCGTTGTGAGCAGTACCGTGGAAAACGAGGTATTCTGCGAGATGCCATTCCGATGCATGGCCAGGAACCCAACGACGACACAGCCGACTGTTACTCCCACCGAAACAATATAAGCAGCAAGCAGGTTTCTCTGGTTGTAGCTGAAGTAGTTCTGCGGAAAGGAGGAAGTCACGTTCACAGACGTATTCGCGGAGTTGAGACTGAGCAGGCTGTAGGTAAAATTATGCGAGAGATCTTCGATGGCGCGAGCGAGCGTCTTGTTACGGCACCGCGTTGCATCCCTGGTCTTGGTCACTTGGGCATCTTCGTATGTAGAACTGTTCCACAAGTCGGGACACGAAAAGAGGCCCGTCTGTGTGATTGAAATGCTTGACTGGGCGGATCGATGTCCGGTTACCTCCTGGCGCAAGCTTCCCGTTGCGCCAGTCTTGAGCTGGCGGTGCAGGAGATCTTGGAAGAGCATACTTACAATGTGGAAGCCCGCGTTTACCCGCTCTTTGTTCTTATATGCAGACTCTGTTGCTTCCTCTGTGCTCCAGTTTGCAAAGGCGGACGGTGTTGTGGATATGGGGGTTAGGGCTTGGACCCCGTCGCTGAAATTGAGGCTGACCACGTACGAGGTGTTCCAGAGCTGGCAGACGAGCTCGGTGGGCTGTGTGGCATTCTCGGCATTCCACACCGGGTTCGACCCCGCTGCGTACACGAAGATTGTGTTATTCAGCTGCGAGGGTTGAGTTCCTATGTATATAGTGAAGTCCGGGTCGATATCGCCTGAAATCTCGGTGTTCCATATGTCTTGTATAGAACCATCCTGTGCGACAACATCATTAAGCCTCTCGCATCTGTAGGACGGGCCCCAGAAGTCGAGAGTATACGACGAGTTCGGCAAGGGGGCAGAGACAGGGAGCACACTTATGGATACAGAAGTGGCTGCGAACAGGCGGCTGATATCCGGAGAGTAGCCTAGGTATGATTCGATACGCCCGGTCCCTTCCAATGCCATCCAGGAGTCCCAAGTGGTATTCAAAGCAAAGTCAATGGTCGGAACCTGCATTCGGGTCTCATTGGAAGCTATCCTAAGGCGGACGGACAGAGTGGCGGGCGTGATAACCGCTGCCAAGGGGATGAGCCTGGCTAGGAAGTGAGAATCTGCTCGAACAGATGGAAGCAACAAACGCACCATGATACAATGGCTAGCACCGTCAGCGTCTTTGCGTAGAGCCAGATATCGAGAGACAAGAAAGCCATCGGGTTGTTGAGGATGCTGAACATGTTGTTGATCCCGTACAGCCTTATGCTTTTTTTGCGGAGGGTAGCCCATGTCTCTTGGGCCGCAGCAGCACCAACAGCTGCTACGAGGAAAGCACGCGAAATAAAGGCGAGGCCGGTTCCGATTCGAACAGCCCACGTTTGCTGTTCGACTGAGGTAACGCGCGTAGTATCTAGGGTGTTGTAGTATATGTGGTGACCGAGCGCTACCAATGCGCCACAGACGGCAGAGCCGACCATCATGGCAGGACACTGCCAGCCGATGCCCCATGCTGCTGGAGTAGGTGCAGGGCTGTCTTTGTGCTCGGTATTGGATGCCTGTTGGTCGAGTACTTCTGGGTCGAGGGTGACTGTTTGCAAGTCGGCTGGAACATGGCCGGGGCTTCCAGGACGACGCGGGTTGTAATCAGTGTGGCTGGCGGTCGGAGAAGACATAGTGAAGGACTATAACATCGACAGAAACTGACAATGTGCAGGTGATTGATAGCCGTTTTGCATTCTTATAGCGGCTTCTGCCGAGGCTGGGGGTGTCAGGCTTGCCGCTTGTCCTACCCACTCGCTCGTATTCCTCCCTCCAGGACGATGCTTGTAACAGCCAACCCCGGTCATTCTGGCAGTAAACATCCATCGATATCCATTCGCCCCCTACCACCTTTTCCCTTGGCGGCGGTTATCGATAATCGTGGCAATCTCCGTTGGCGAAGAGGCTCGCGTCGGAGGCCTGTCAAACAAATCAGCCATATTTCACGAATGGCATGGCTGAGTCTGACAAACGAGATCAATTGGAGGAGAGATGCTGTTCAGCCTCGTGCGGCGATCCAACCTATCCATATTTAGGAAAGAGCAACCGCGTAGGTACCAACAATGTTACACCGCGTCTCGACCATCCTTCTTCTATAGATAACTGCATTCTGTCGGTTGAGGTATGGTTAACAATGGCAGAAGATACTTCGGTACCCTGAAACAGACCATAGGCGTGAACTGCAGTCCAGCTCTATAACTAGGAACTGTTCCGAGGATGCCTCTACTTCACTCTATGTATCCAACCTTCAGTATACTACAAACACCGTAGAGCCTAAGGCTAGTCCAGCATGAGACTCTCCTCGCCTCCACCATACGCAGCCTGACCAGTATGATCTGCGCAGTCTGCTCCATCTGGCTTTGTACTCGCCGACCTCCGTGCCCAGGTCCATAAGGCTGTGGAACAAACCCACCAACATGGAGGATTTCCACAGCTTCAGCCTTTTTCTTCTGTTCATCATAATTGTAAAAGCCAGAAAGATGGCTGAAGTAACAAGTGCTGCAGGAGGACAAGCCAGACCCACCGTACAGAGACATACACCTTGGCTACATGGATCGTGCCGCGAACAGTGTCGTTGCTCGCCTTGAGGTTTGCCGTGGTAATTCCATTACAGTAATTAGTGAATCCCTACCGTCCCATTGGCTAAACGGAAATGCATTCCCCGCCTGCCGCTCCACATCCGCCACCTGTCGTTCTCTCTCTTCTTCCCTCCGCCAACACGAGATGGAGGCCATCACCTTTCTCCCGATCAACCAGCCGGGCTCGCCAGCCAGCCAGCGCGCCAGACGCGGCTACCAATCCTGCGACAACTGCCGGGAGAAGAAGAAGCGATGCGTGACGGCCCACGGCGAAGCGACGTGCCGGAGATGCCAGGACGAGTCCAGAGCCTGTCTGACAACGCATCGACGAAAGAAGAGGAAGATCCGACCGTCACTCGGCGCGGAGTCTCTGCTCGAGGCGCCCAGGGTGCCGGGACCAGCACCAGCTCCATTGCCGGACCATGATGCTAGCACCAAGCAACGGATCCTGTCGACGCACCTGCTTGATGCGAGCGATGCGTTGGATTTGATTGCGGTTGCAGGCTCAAAAGAGGATGTCGATGGGGACGTGCAGTCTTGTTCTTCGCATCAGGACTTGTCCAGTGAATGGAGGCAGTTTTTCCTGGTGAAGAGAGGGATCCTCCGCGCGGAGGAAGCCGTCGAGTTCCTTGGGTTTTATTTTTCCACGCTGTGGCACCTGTTTCCAGTGGTGCCGGAGTACTACGGAGCCCCTGAAAATTATACCTCTCTGGCTACGGCAGAGCCAGTGCTGACCATTGCACTTATCGCACTCTCATCCCGGTACCATATTCTCAGCGGATACAATGGGATAGCCCGGTCGGAACGGGTCCACTGGCGCACCTGGCCGTGGGTGCAGAAGCTCTTCCAGTCCTCGATCTGGGGATCGTCTGCAATGCGAAGTCACGGCGCCATCGCCGCGCTGCTGCTGTTCATTGAGTGGCATCCCAGAGCAATCAATTCTTCCGAGGACTTTATCGGCGATTGCGGCGAGCTGGAGCTCTTTGAGCCGCATTGTCAGCCGGATGGAGACTCGCATGCTCGACCGAGTATACCGGAGCGCCTCAATCTGGTAGCGACGGCGTATAGGAGTAACAAGATGTCATGGTGGGCCCTCCTTTACATACCGTGGCTTGTGCTGACAGGGTAGGATGCTGCTTTCGAGTGCCATTGCCTTGGCACGCGAGCTCGGGGTCTTTGAAGGACAGACAGTCGAGGGCTCTGCTCTGAGTCAGGAATGGACTCGGATCTTGCGGACCTTCATACGGCTCGCCGACGAGAGTCTGGCCCTCCGACTGCGCCTCGAGCCACAGCTGGCAGGAGGCCACGGCGTAGCGGACCACATCCCGACGAGCATGGTCGGCGATGCGCACTGGGAAAGCGGCGTGGAACTCGGTATCCACATGTGCAAGGCCAGAGAGCTTCTCCGAAGCTGGAGGAAGAGCGAGGCCGGGTCTGGAGCTGGAGCTGGGGTCCCTCTCGGGGCATGGGAAGGATTCCGACGAGGCCTTGACCGCTGGAAGCGGCAACGAGAGTTCAGCAACGGGGGTGCAGATCGGGATTTGCCATTGCGTGCGGCCTGCTTGGAAGTCGAGTACTACTACATCCGACTCTGCGGCCTGAGTCCCGCGGCGCATATCTTTGAGCGGCTCCCTGATATGGAGACTGAAGGTGCAGGCGCACTCCAGCTGGCTCAGCTCGCAAGCGATGCGACCACCGCGTCCATCGACATGCTGCACTGCGTGCTCCACCGTCTGTCCCCCACGCAAGGCTTCAAATACGCCGGTGTCAAGATCTGGCTTTACACCGTCTGCGCCGCATTATATCTCCTCAAGGTACGACTCCATCCTACCCTAACATGTGGAATTCCGCTTACTGCCTGGTTTAGATTACTCTCCAAACCGAGGAGCAGCTCGACCGGTCGAGTCCACGGATCCGCCTCATCCGGGGCGTTGTCGACGCGCTCAAGCAGAATGCCCCGGATGATGTGCACATGGCGCAGCGCTATGCCGCTCTCCTGGAGATTCTCATCAACGCTGCTCTCAGGTCGTGCGCGGGGGACCCCGTGAGGCAACGAGAGAGCAGTCCATTGTACACTGCAATGGGCCCGGAAGTTGGAATTGATACGGCAGCAGACTGGATCTATGGCTCGGAGTTCTGGGACTCGCTACCGGACATGGTCGGGCTGAATGGCGTGTCGAGTTTATTTCTACCCCTGGAATAGAAACATGGCGTCGGTCTTCTCTACATCACTCTACCTCTGCTCTCCACATACAGCACAGTTCATGTATCCATAGAATACTCCATCGCAAGCCTGCGGTTCCATCCCCTCGCTCCCGCAACAACATGACTACAAACCGTATGTATCCACATAACCGTTCACTAAGACGTCTCCCTGCACCTGATAAATTAGCTAGCCCATTTCAAATGCGGAGAAGCGGGGAACCCTAGCACGCACTGGTCGCAGATTATCCGTCAATTGTCGGTGTTGTCGGATATCCCAAAGCGATATAACCGGCACGAATCACCACGTCCCATCCAAACAGCAAGAGCTCTGTCCACGTACAGGCATTGCCCTCTCACCTCGGAATGCCGGGCTTGGAACTGTCCAGTAGACGGAGGAATTCCGCTTACTGGGGGTATATACGTCCAGCTATTAAAGATGGGGATTTCTCTTCGGAACCTTGTTTATAGAATCGGCCATCTTATATCAACTAACGAGGACCAACATGGGCTCAAGTAGAGACACGTCGACGATGCCACTCGCCGCGTATCTCTGGCAGAGGTACGTCTTGCAGCAAACTTACCCATGGCAGGATCTGACGGCGCTAGAATCCGCCAGCTCGGCGTGCAGAGCATCATGGGTGTGCCTGGGGACATGAACCTCGAGCTACTCGATTACATTGATCAAGTCGAAGGCCTGTCATGGGGTTCGTTCATCCACGGTCGTCCGATAACCGGTAGGAACTGCGCTGACTGCCCGGATCCCATTTGCAGTCGGCAACGCCAACGAGCTGAACGCCGCCTACGCCGCGGACGGATATAGCAGGGTCAAAGGGTGTCCTGGCGTTTGTGAGTCACGTTTTCAACCCTGGTTTACCTATTCGCATCGCGTGCCTTGGGGCATCTCTAACGCAACGGGTTGAGCCAGTGGTCACGACCATGGGCGTCGGCGAGCTCAGCGCGATCAACGGGGTGGCGGGCGCATTCACGGAGCACGTCAAGGTCATCCATATTGTTGGCACGACGGGGACGAGGGCGCAGAAGGCACGAGCGATGATCCATCACTGTTTGGGGCCGGATCCGGATCACCGGGTTTGTTGGTCTCATGAGGAAACGGCGGGGGGCGATGGCTGGGCTGACGACGAGATAGGTCTACGCGAAGATCTCCGAGTCTGTCCGCGCAGCGCATTGCTGGCTTGATGATGCTGAATCTGCGCCTGGGGAGGTCGACGTACGCTCCTTTCCTAGTCAGGGTAAAGAGCAAGCTGACTTGAACAACAGCGAGTTCTCCGCGAATGCTACATCCACAGCCTTCCCGTGTACATCTTCGTCCCTATGGACTTCGTCCACGTCCCCATCCCCGCCTCCCTGCTTGACCAGCCGGTCGATCTGAACCCCAGGACGGACAACGAGGCATGTATCTCTGCGATTCATGCCGTGATCTCGAAACTCTCAACCTGCTCGGCACCCCGCATCATCGTCGATGCGCTGGTGCATCGACTCCGCGCCGCAGATGCCATGAACCGCCTTCTGGACCTGCTCGCCCTCCCGACCTTCACCACCCCAATGGGCAAGTCCATCGTGCCCGAGGACAAGCCGTACTTCTGCGGCGTGTACAGCGGCCAGGTCTCGCTCCCCGGCGTGGCAGACGCAGTTGAACGAGACAGCGACCTCGTCATCGACGTGGGCTTCGTCCACTCGGATTCCAACACCGGCGGCCACTCGCGGACTCCGCTGAGACGGGCACAGTCCATCCTCGTCGCCGCGGCCTATGTCCAGGTCGGACACGCCCGGTATGAGAACGTCCACCTGGTGGAGTGTACTACACCTCTCCTTTCCACTCAAAGAGCCCATGACTAAGATAGATATCAGTCCTAACCCGCCTCTCCGACACCCT